ATTCACAGCAAGAGTCAACTGGAGCCAGTGCAGGACTTTGCGTACTTAGGTTCATGTGTAAGGGATTTCCGGCAAGACGAATCGCAATTAGAAATGCGCATAGGAACTCCCGGAGAAGAGTCATCGGTTGTGCGCATGCGCGATCGCACACACGCACGTGCACATGCACGGCAAAGATTGGCGCCAGGTGGGCTATTTAAAGAGTGCCTCTGCCCATGTTGGGTGCTGACTGGTCTTCAGCTCCCCCGTGTCCTGCTTGTTCCCGTGTGATTCCTTTGTTGCTGACCCGGCTTGTTTCTGACTCTCATTGCTCTCCTGATTGATACTGGTTCCTGACTTCGGCTCTGCTCCTGACCTTGGCTTTCCTTCTGATTCTGTACCTTGCTGTCCGCCTGTTGATGACCCTGGCTATTCCTATGACACTGCTCCTGTCTCTTACCCTCACTACCTGCCTTGCTCTGGTGCACGCCTGGCAATCTACAAGACTTGCTCTGCTTGTTACTACCGTGCCTGAATCAGAAGATCATCAGTCCTCCAAGGTCCTTATCTGCAAGAGCTGCAAACAACAACTACTGGCGCTCTTGTCCCCCTGGTCCCTAGACTCCCTCTGTTCCAACTCCAGTGGGGTCAGGGCTAGTGACACAAGTGAGGCCAACCTTGTCATTTCAGTCTCCCATCAGGTACGTGACATCATGCTTACTAGATGAGAAAATACCTGTAGTCTAGGACAAAATAGTCATAGTACTGCCTTCATTTGTCAGTGGACATCGGTGTCTCTTTGTTAACCCCTTCGTGCCGGCGCCTCCCAGCCCTTTAAGGGTTTCAGAAGCCAGGAGGCGGGGCAGGGTTTAGGGTCATGTGACCGCCGTGAGACGCCATCACGGCGGTCACATGATCAGGAAAGAGGAGATCGGGACCTTTCTAGGAGTAACGGACATGTGTGCTGGGAGCGTGCAGGGCACACGCTCTCAGCACATATGTTCTTTTTTAATAGAATGCAAATGTGCGGCCGCTCGTTATCTAGGCCCAGACGCCGGGAGGCTGCACATTTGCGCTTGGCCGGTGTGAAGAGGTGAAAGAACTGTGATTATACATAAAAAGAAATACAATCTGTGCCAGGTCAAGAGAACAAATCTGCTGCACTCAGGCCCACCAGTTAGAACATCCTCTCAACCAATACCAGTCTGGCTGGGTGTGGATTACATGTGGACATCCTTCTGGCATATGGATGCCAGGACTTCAACACCTTATTTATTTATTATTATTTATTACAGGTACTTATATAGCGCCATCAATTTATGCAGTGCTTTACATATACTGTATATGGTACATTCACATCAGTCCCTAACCCTCAAGGAGTGTACAATCTAAGGTCCCTAACTAGGGTTGCCACCTCATCCCTTTAAAAACTGAACACATATTATTTACACAGGTTGTGTGGCTAATTAAGGTGGTAATTAAACTCACTGAGTGCCTTATGTGCAATAAATTAGCCTCAAAACCTGTGTATTTAATATGTGTTTGGTTTTAAAGGGATGAGGTGGCAACCCTATCCCTAACTCACATTCATACACATACTAGGGCCAATTTTAGACAGGAGCCAATTAACCTACCAGCATGTCTTTGGAGTGTGGGAGGAAACCAGAGTACCCAGCGGAAACCCATGCAGGCACAGGGAGAACATGCAAACTCCAGGCAGGTGGTGCCGTGGTTGGGATTTGAACCAACAACTCTAGTACTGCCAGATAGGAGTGCTAACCATGTGGTCTCCTATGTTCTGGAATTACAGGCAGCACACTCTGGGGTTGATTTACTAAAACTGCAGAGTACAAAATCTGGTGCAGCTGTGCATGGTAGCCAATCAGCTTTTAACACTTTTAACGCATTTCTAAGCTTGTTCAATTAAGCTTTGAAATAAAAACCTGGAAGATGGCTGGTTTCAATGCAGAGCTGCACCAGATTTTACACTCTAGTTTTAGTAAATTAACTGTTGAGAATGTTTGCTCTACAATTGGAGAAGCAAGCAGTTCATTTACATATATTAGACCCCAGACTTTTTAAAGCACGTTTTGCTCGCGCAAATGCATGTCCACTTCAATGGGCTGGCCTATGTGCGCTTGTCACCCAAAAGATGTTCCAGCTCCTTTTTGGCCAACAAGCTTAGTGTGATTTTTAACAGAGCCTTTTCCTGCAATTGCTGTTCAACAATCCTGGCAGAATCACACCGCATTTGGGGTGCCATTAAAGAATAATAAGACCCACATATGTGTTGCATGTTGTGCTGTGATTTCATATTACCTTATGTGAACAGTGCCTTAATGTTACTTGTCTAATACGTACAGAAACATACTTATGTCTAAACCAAATTTGTTTTATATATTTGTAAAGCACCTGGCCAAAACTATATCTAATCATGCCTATTAAATTAAGTAGTTAGCTATATCTTATATTTTTATGCTGTCGTTATACGGAGAAAATTCCACAAGAGTGGTGTACAGTAAATATTGTACCACTGTTGCAGAATAGTAAGCAGCTAAAACATGTAGGCAAAAGTGATAGCAAGCACAAAGATATAGTAGAGAACCTTTTTCAAAAGAGATCTGAAGGGGTTTATGAATAATAGGTCATGTCTAACATGATATCTTTTATTTTGAGGAGATAACTCTAAATCTGGGTTTTGGAACTGCTATCGATGAAATGCAGTATTTGGGGGGTTTTTTTTTCAATTAAGGAAATTAAACTTGATGAACATCCTTATTGACTAAGTAACTTCACTAAGTTTGTTTTGAGTATATTCATGGAAATATAATCAATGAGCAATCTTGCATACAAAGATGGTTATATAGTGATTAATACAGGGACAAAGACAGAAATAATAGTTGTTAGGGGTTCCAGTCTTTGCCTACTCTGGTAAACAATGACTTTTTTTTTTTTGCCTGTGTTGGAGATCTGTTGTTACTGGGACAGAACGTGTGAAGATATATCTCTAATGGAGCCCTGGATAGCAGTATAAACCCAATAAGGTTTCTATTTCTTACCTGCTTGTCCGAATATAAAAAAGAGTTTTGCCTGAACATATACTCTAAGTGAAGATAATTGCCTTTTTGAAGGAGCCATGGACATTACTTAAGGTCATTTGTCAACCAAGCATTTCCTTTTTGTTTAACAAAAATGGCAGAAATATTAATGATACTGAACCTTATCTTGAGTTTCTGTTACATTTTGTCTCTGATATATTTGCTATCCCACAAGATAACTTTGTATCTTCTTCAAATAATGTTCACATACCTTAATCTTTAACTCCATATGCTGTGGTTTGGGAGTTGCTCTAGAGGAAAAGTTCATTGGAGTACTATTGCTATTGACACAATTGATTTTGTCTCATGCTTTTTTGTTTTTTTTTTTTACTCTTTTGCTGATCTACAAAATGTAGGAATTTATGTTAAGAGATATTTGATATTTATTGCCTAGTCTTACAAGTTTTGTTAGATGTCACAGGTGAAAAGTCAGGATAAATTATTCAAAGCAGCAAACTATTATACCCCTGACTTTTGTGAATCCCTGTACCAATTTTCCTGTGGATTCAGCAACATTTTAGTTTTACAACTTATTGTTACAACGCATGCATGTCTATAGAATTAATTCTAATTTACAAAACAGTTATCATAAAGGATAAGTGAATATAGCAGGTTATTATAAATAAATGAAAAAGATCTCCAATCACTGTAGACTTAAACCACCAAAACACCCAAAATGAGCTGCCACCTTTTATAAATGTTTAATTACTCAAAGAAACAATAATGAAAATAAGCTTAAAAATTACCTGTAGGGGTAGAAGTATGGGAACTGTTATTGATAGCTTGTTTTGTAAGTTACATGCTGTGGGGCTTTAACTTCATCCTAGCTACATTCATTGTCAAGTCACTGACCCGCAATTAGCATTGTCATATCAGATGTCCTGACAACTGATCTTCATGCAGGTCAGTGATTCACAAGTAGAGAAACTGGGAAGGAAGATGGACTTAGAACAGTGTTTCTCAACCTTTTTTCAGCCAAGGTACCTTTTAAAATTAAGGACAATTTCAAGGCACCCTTTAAAATTATGGACAGTCCCAAGGCACCCTTTAAAATTATGGACAGTCTTGAGGCACCCCACTCTAAAATGTAAAAAAACTATTCTAATAGTTTTATATAACTCAGCAACATCCACACATGGACATCCAATGCTAGAGGTGATTTATTCTTCCAAATAAAATACACTTTGTACACTGATACTGACTAGTATCACAGTGTTTCTCTCAGTTTTTCTCCATCATTGAGCTAATGTGACCCCAGCACTACAAGGATGCTGTGACATCCTCCTTATCAACTGATGATGTCATTGGTTGTCAGGACGCCAGTGGCTAGAAGGTTGTAATGGCACACAATGAAAACCTGTGACTTTGTGTAACTATAAGTCAGGCTTCTGCCACCTGCTGGCTTGTATACAAGTTTTGGGCAACTTTTAGACATTTTGCCAAGGCACCCCTGAAGAAACCTCAAGACACCCCAGGGTGCCTGAGCACCCTGGTTGAGAAAGGCTGACTTAGAACATGCACCATCAAAAACTAGTCAGCCATGGCAAATTCTGTATTTCTGTCTTTATAGGTACTCTTTTAAGTTGGCAATACACAAGCACATCCTGTAGAAACACAACCACTTTGAAAATTGTCTTGGTATGATTCTATGTTCTGGAGAGGGTCAATATTTAAACTGGCAAATTCCTGCCACCACCAGCAGAGTATTTGTGGCCAAATGCCTTGATTGTTATGACTTATTTCCTTAACATTACTTAACAGTCTGGGGCAGCATTCTCTTCAGGAGCAGTGTATATTTTAGTTGTGCTGTTACTCTTAATATACACTATATTGCCAAAGTATTGGGACACCCCTCCAAATCATTGGATTCAGGTGTTCCAATCACCTCCATGGCAACAGATGTATAAAATCAAGCACCTAGGCATGCTGACTTCTTCTAAAAACATTTGTGAAAGAATGAGTGGCTCTCAAGAGCTCAGTGAATTCAAGCATGGTACTGTGATAGGTTGCCACCTGTGCAATAAGTACATCCTTGAAATGTCCTTGCTACTAAATATTCCACAGTCAACTGTTAGTGGTATTATAACAAAGTGGAAGCAACTGGGAACAACAGCAACTCAGCTACGAAGTAGTACGCTACATAAAATGGCAGAGCAGGGTCAGTGCATGCTGAAGCAACAGTGCTCAGGAGTTTCCAACTGTCTGCAGAGTCAATAGCTTAAGACCTCCAAACTTTGTGCGGCCTTCAGATTAGCACAATAACAGTGTGTAGAGAGATTCATGGAATGGGCAAGCAGCTGCATCCGAGACTGACATCACCAAGTGCAATGCAAAGCATCGGATGCAGTGGTGTAAAGCACGCTGCCACTGGACTCTAGAGCAGTGGAGATGTGTTCTCTGAAGTGATGAATCACGCTTCTCTGTCTGGCAATCTGATGGATGTATCTGGGTTTGGCGGTTGCCAGGAGAACGGTACTTATCTGACTCCATTGTGACAGGTGGAGGGGGGATTATGGTGTGGGATTGTTTTTCAGGGGTTGGGCTAAGCCTCTAAGTTCCAGTAAAGGGAACTTTTAAGGCATCAGCATGCCAAGACATTTTGGACAATTTCATGTTCCCAACTTTGCGGGAACAGTTTAAGGATGGCCCCTTCCTGTTCCAACATGACTGCACACCAGTGCACAAAGCAAGGTCCATAAAGACATGGATAAGTGCGTTTGGGGTGGACAAACTTGACTGGCCTGCACAGAGTCCTGACCTCAACCCGATAGAACACCTTTGGGGTGAATTAGAGCGGAGACTGCGAGCCAGTCCTTCTCGTCCGACATCAGTGTCTGACCTCACAAATGCGCTTCTGGAAGAATGGGCAAACATTCCCATAGACACACTCCTAAACCTTGTAGACAGCCTTCCCAGAAGAGTTGGAGCTGTTATAGCTGCAAAGGGTGGGCCAACTCCATATTGAACACTAAGACTGGGATGCCTTTAAAGATCATATGCGTGTAAAGGCAATTGTCCCAATACTTTTGGCAATATAGTGTATATCCACTCTGACAAAACTGTAAACAATGTTTAGAGTTAGCATTTAAGAAAAGTAATTGCTACTCAAGAACACTTGTAGGTGAAACAGATATATTTTTCACTGTTAGTAGGAAGATAAAGCATCATGTTATTATATTTGATCAGTTTCTATATGTAGATTTCAGAGAGTCTTTAGAAAATAAAGATTCAAAGAGCCATGTGGGTAGTAATCAATAGAAACTATGTTTCTCGTCATATGGCACATTCCAGATTTCAATCTTTCAGCAGATTTTGCAAAACACATTATAAAGAACTTTAAGGTCAGCAATTCTGACGAGGTCAGGCACAAGTAAACAAGCTTTTTCATCTCTAAATTAAAATTTACAGTTAAAAAAAGGTGCCCCTTTACAACTGAAAGACAACTGGTTTTAACTGGCACAGTTAAGACTGGCCTTTATCACGCTAATTGAGGAGGACACTGGAATTTCTTGATAACACCCATTCTTACTGTGTGGGTTACACAAAAATTTAACATAAACAGCACATTTGTAATGGAATTGTAAATGAAAAACAGTACAATGTGAGTATAACATCAGGAATATTTTTTTAAGCTCCTCTGGCATGATGTATAATTCTGATGACTGCAGCCCAGTGGGTAGGTGTCCCCAATCTGCAATTATTATTCAGAGCATTAATTTTGTCATTACCCTTTCCACACCTACTTGCTTGACCTTACCCATAATTGTGTTAATTTTGCATGTGATGAGATCCAAGGCAGACAGTCTTTGTGCACTCTGGGGGGAAAGGGCAAGGCCCATGGAATCTTTTGTAGGTACTCTACAATACTGATGCCTCAAAGATGCCTTACAGTAAGTCTTTGGAAGCATAAAAAGGTGGAAAAAAAAGCACTCTCTTCCTATTTCCATTTCTTTGAATTGAAAGAAGTAATACATCTTCCTCCCTCTACTACTAAACTGTTGCAAGGTATAACCAAAATAAGGCTCTTTTCTGTGTGTATCATTTATTTACCAATTTATATGGTGATGATATTTTTTGTGTAGCAATTTATAGAGAACATGGAACCATCCACATGATGTATTTTAAATGGAAAGTTTAAAAGAGATATTTATAGATTATTATATATAGTGATATTTAAAGCGTAACCAAAGTCCACAGAAAACTCACCTTCGTTCCAATGCAAGTGCTGGATTCCTCACAGGTCACTGACATCTTCTTCTTGAGCTTCTTCTGGGCCCAGGGTTTTCAGCCTCTTAACTGGCCAGTGGAATACATGACTATTCTTCCATACACTGAGTAGAATCTATGCTAGGCTGCGCATGTGCAGCTCCAGCTACATTCAATAGAAGACAGCAAACAGGCAGGTAAGTTTGTTTTATTGCGGAAGAAACTTAGCATGCGTGCAATAAACAGCTGCCTGCTCAGCGTTTTTAACTTTAGTTTCACTTTAGGTTATTATTGCAATATTATTTTAAACTCATTTTATATGAACTTCATATTTTTGCAAGCTTGCTCTTTTTTTTTTTTTATAAATTATAGGGATAAGTAAATTACCCACTAGAAGGATCTCTCAATGGCTTAGTGCAATTACTGCACATGGAGGCAGCCATGTTGAATTATGACCTACAAATGGAATTTATAGTGCTTCCTGTTTTGCGGTGCTATCACATATTGTACTCCCTATATAGCTAATCTAATTTCAACTATTGTTCACAAAGAGAGGCAAATTAATTGAAAATTGATTGATAGCTCTGTCTAGTAGTTAATGCTCAGATCTCTATATTTAATGCAAAAACAAAAAAATATGGATGAGCCAGCATAAAAAAGTCCCATGAAGAATTACTTTAGGGTCCATGCACACTGGCTTGAAAAGAAAAACGCTGCTTCTACAGGAGTTTAGTGTTTTGCCTGCAATATCAGCTCAGTGTTATCCTATGTGTCCTTGCACATTAGGGCATTTAGAGGCATATTTTAAGCTCAGCATTTAGAGGCAGAAAAAAACCCTTCTGGCTTGCGTTTTTGAGAGCAGTTTTCTGGCAGAAAAAAATGCTGAATGCTCCTAATCTCTTCTAGAAGCTCCTAAACATGGCTTAACACCTGTACAAAAGTACTCTATATGAGCATTTTTTCTGCCAACGGAACTGGCATTTTTTTTAAGCCCAGTGTGCATGGACCCTAAGGTAAACCATAAATAATACTGTAACTCAATATATGTGCTTATGGAAAGTATGCCAGCCTGCCTTTTAAGGAGCCAGTGAGGGCACCTATAGACATTAGATATTATTGTCTGATCTTGTGGATTTTAGCAAGAATGGGTGACAATCTCAATATCTTTGGGGTTCCTTTTGAGACAGAAACCAAAAACCACAGTCAGGTAGGAACTTTATCAACTGGTCTAGAACATTTTAACCAATCCTACATAGTTTTGCAGTGTAGACCCAAAACTCAATAACATGGACACTCACAAGTCTGCACACTGTATGTGTACGTCACCATTTCCAAAGTTAAGATCATTCTGCAGCTTTTACTGCCAGGGGCTCCTTTAAGCATTCACGTGTCCTTATGATTTCAAAATATAAATTTGACAGGTAGTTGAAAGATCCCAGGATATCTCCAGACTACCCGCTGTAAATATATTAAGGGGGAAAGACAAACTTGATTCCAATGAACTAATAAAAAATACATGAGGTGAAGAAGGAAAAAGCTGTTTTGTCAGAATATAAATATTTCCCTTTTTATCTTTCATGTTCCGTGTGAGACTTATCAAAGGAAAGATAGTTTAGCTCCCCTGAGGACCTTCCACATAAACTATTCTGAGACATGGGGGAAAAACAAGACAGAGGAAATTAAAGATAAATAAAGACTGAAAGGCCCATTAAGTTTGTCTCAGCACCATCTAGCCAAAGCTTGTCCTATTATTCATTAATCTCACTTGACAGACTGATTCTCAGGAGTCCTTTCTTGCCTGCCAGGTATAACATGACTCTAAAAGTGCCACCTCTTTAATATGTAAACCATAGCAAATAATGGGACATTACTAAACCTATTTATTTAAAATAGTTAATGGTCCATTTTATATATATATATATATATATATATATATATATATATATATATAATGTTGCTATTATAAAGGTAGTTACAATGTGTATAGTATTTATATATCTAGGTTTATTGGGCATGTTTGTGATCACAATAAAGGTTCAGTGTCAAATCCACATTCTCATTGGTCATAGGGGTGAAGTTCACAGTGGGTGAGCCTACAGCTCCATTCTTTGTAGTGAGGTTAATGGAGTCACTATACAGAACTTTATAAAGCTAGGAATAGAAATGAGATGATCATTCTCTAGTGTAAATTACAATATCATGTCTATGAGAACCAAGGAAGGATTTTGAAGAGAATGATCAGCTGGACTGGTGCACCCAATCGTGATTGTGTTGTTGTTTTACGATTATCTGGCACAAAGATGTCTGGCTGAGCCCAAAGTCTTCCCCATCACAATGCGTCTATGTCCAAAAACGCTAATAGGCTTTTCCTAAAGCAGGCCATACATTAGCAGAATTTCATTAGAAAAATTTTTGATTCCCTAATGGTTAGTGGGGTCAAATTGATGATAATTTTTGACTGTAGTTATGAGAAAATTTGAAGAAGCAAGATAGAAAATCTTTCTTGACTAAACAAAGTTCTAACTGTACATGTGATTTTCATTCATATATTGCGCATATTCTAATGTGCATATTGTAGGCACAAAAGAAAATCTGTTTAATATGTTTGAGATTCCATTCAAGTAGCAGATCTGGAGAAAAGTTTAGGGGCTTGCTTGTAAGCAAAATTTGTTGATTCAGTGACGGAAAGATTGAATTCTCCAATTAACAATTTTTCAGATTTTCTGTATGAATGTTCAAATTAAATTCTACTGGTATATGGCCAGGTTAACATTTCATCCAGACATCAGTCTGAAAATTCTCTGAGATAGTAGATGAAGGAGATAGCTTCCTACAAAATGTCACATACCATAGCTATTCTGTGATCTGGTTCAGCTATTTCTTTGTTGACTGTGGGCACTGTAACCCACTTACACATTTAAGTTGGCTATGCATTAGTAGATTTTTTAACAAAAACTCTCATCAATACATTCAAATGCAGTTTAAAAGTACTTCAAAAAGCATTTGCTGTTAACACTTGATTTTAGAGTGAATGGATTTTCCCAAATGAAAATCACTTTTACTATTAGAAATTAATTTGTTGGAGAAAACTTTTCCATCCTA